TTAAGACCCACCCCATCCTGTTGTGATCTGTTAATAAAAGGCTCTACTGTGAAGGGAGCAGTGAGAAAGGTGCTGAAATGTGAGCAGGCAGCCTTTCTCCTCCTGCAGGAAGCTGTTTGAAAATCCCTCGGTGTGTCAGATTCATTTTTTGTCCTATATGAACTCACAATTTTCTGAAGCTAACACACTCTATAAAGCCTCAAACTTGCTATTTCTTATATTTTAAATTGAAAAAGCTTCCTGGATGGGAGGCCAAACTAAGTCCAGTGTTCTTTAACCTTTTTTGGAATGACTATGACCTGGATGACTGGCGCATTTAGTTTATCTTCAATAGAAAATCGGACACCTTTTCTCTGGGTTTATTCGCCATAATGTGAAGAAGTTCATGAGGAGCTTTAGGTAGAAGTTTTCCTGCTTCCTCCCTCGTCTTCAACATCCGAGAAACTCCCAAAGCTGCTTCAGTTAAATTCTACTTTCCCTGACATAATGAGGGACAGATTCTCCTGCATGCTTGTTTTTTGGGCATAATAATAGTAATTGAGGTGCAGAATTACTCTTAAACATATGTTTTTAAGCTGCCTCCTCTTACATCCTGTCTAGTTTTTTGGGGAAAGTGCAGTAAAGGAGCAGGACTGAAGAGAAATCAGGACATTCTGCTGTGAAAAAGAAACCTTGAGGATGAGGAGCTTCTTAGCAGATAATTTCTGAGAAATAAACGGAGCAGAGTGACTGCTAACGTTCCAAACCCTTTACCCCTCAGGAACCTACCACTGCGGCACCTGTCAGTGTGAGCCGGGGTACCTGGGGGCCCGCTGCGAGTGCCAGGAGGGCGAGGCCAGCAGCATGTACCTCAGCGCCTGCCGGGAAGCAGAGGGCAAGCAGCTGTGCAGCGGGCGAGGCGAGTGCAGCTGCAACCAGTGCCTCTGCTACGAGTCGGAGTTCGGGAAGATCTACGGGAGCTTCTGCGAGTGCGACGACTTCTCCTGCGCGAGGCATAAAGGCATCCTCTGCTCAGGTAGGAGCCGCCGAGGCCAGACGCTGCCGCCTGGGTCTGTGGGCTTCGGATTTATTGACCGCTACTGATAATGAAAGCTGCTGCAGACTGTGGCTCCCTGGATACACATCAAACCATCCCTGACTTCCTGTCCTGTAAGAGCTCCCAGTGGCCGTTTCTCTATTTGTGTACTTGTGCGCTCTCGTGTGCTTGTGAAACGTCATCAGCCTCAGCCTTAGTGCTTTTCCAGTGCTTTTTTTAGGTAGGCAACACTTTGTTCATTCTTTTGTCTTTTTCAGGTGGGGTGGTTCCTTTGAATATTTTTGTACTTGCGTAAATATTGCATATTCTAAAAACGAAAAAAAGCAGTAAACTTAAATAGCCTTTTGAACGTTACTGTGACTGCTCTGAGCATGCCCGATGATGACGTCACGCAATACAACGGAGAGAATGTAAAACTTATCAATTTCTTCTAGAAAAAGTTTTCCATTTTTTCTATGCTTTGTAATTTAGCATTATTTATTGTTTAAAGTATAGAATCAAGTATTTCCAGTACCGTTATTACATCGTTTTCGGTGACCTGGATCATATTATGTTCACACATGAGCAGGACGGATCGGGTAGTGACAATTCTCACCCCTCCATCTTTACCCAGCATGCATCAGAGCAGACTTGTCTGTTCTTGATATTGACAGCTTTCCCAGCATCAGCAGCAGCAGTTTCCAGATTAGCGCTCACAGAGCTCAGAGTATTTAGTTAAAAGTTCTTTTCTTTTCTGTTGCTGTTGTTTTATAAAAGTACATTTTAAGATCATTTGAGGCGAGAACATTATACTAGCTTCACTGTTTGGCCCATTTACTGATTTAGTGCGTAATATAAAAAAAGTTCAGATTTTGAGAGCCTGCAATCAGTGGACCTCTGAGGGTGACAGCAGCCAGGGCTAACGTTAGCCCGT